GCATTCTGGAGAAAGATCTGTACATTTCTCGTAGCGTTCTGCTTGGCGAGTTCCTTCGCTTTGGTGTGAAACTGCTCCAAGGCTTCCTTAGCTTCAACATAGAGGTAATACTGAGGACTGGGCATTCGAAGGTGCTTTTCTTTTTCGTTACATCGACGAATGCAAACAGAGGCAAACAGAGTGAGCATAGCGATGATCGTCAGTGACCAGCCAGCAATCTGACTGTTGGTTTTATAGATGTCTTCAAGCTCAATAGATCGGGGGCCTAACTTTGAATAACATTCGTCGGTAGCGTTGTTCCGTGCTATATCTCTGTCAAGCGGTGGACCAAAATACGCGCAGGTGTAGTATTTTTGTTGAAGAAAGGACATAACTAACCAGGCGATTGGTGCGACACTTGCTCGTACAAACATCTCTAGAGTAAACGACAATGTTCTGAACTGGCGAGTAATCGGCTTTTCAGCATTTTCCGTTTTGTAAATTCTCCTTGGGAACTTCCGCCTTAATTTTTTTTCCAACAGAATTCCCGGAAGAAAGAGAAGAAAAGATGGAGCCCAAAGAAATAACATGCCATAAACAAAGTGTCTTTCGCATGGACAGTCGAAAACCACGCTCTCAAATAGCTCTTGCAAGCCTATTGTTAAAGCCGCCATCGTTCCATACAACAAGGATCGTTTAGAGTCTCTTAATAAAACATAAAAGCTCGATATTAGCGCATTCATTGCGAGCGGTTGGCACAGCTCGATCAAGGTAACACAAATCTTCACAAAACCAGCGATCTTATGCACAAACAGATGCGAGTAGTGGTATTTAAATATAGTAAACAGTTTCATGGTGGAAGTGATATCTTTAGTTTCGAAACTAACCTGTAACTGCGGTTTTTGATTTTTTTAGAAGTGACTGCGACATAACTGCCGATAGTTGTATACTTAATTACATAAAAAGAAAGCTTATAAAGACGAGTAGTTGTAAAGAAAGTCAAACATTCTCAAAGCGAAAATTAAAAGACTTATTACAATTAATCTTTATTTAAGTATTCTATTAACATGTTTAAAAATAATTAAATGATCACATCAGATTCATTTTGATGTGACACCGTTTGACCACATACAGTGTAGTATCCGCTAAAGTATGCGAATCCAAGCGGTCGAAACGAAACAAGGTAGCCATGGGTTGAATGATGAGATACCGTAAAATTAAGAAAATAAGCCCCTCCAAATATAAGCCCCCCTGGGGCTTGTACCTGTAAAATTGCCCTCAAATACAAAGTAAAACAAAGCAAAAACGGTAAATTTACTTCCAAATATAAGGCTAGCCCAATCGATTTTGAAACGCAAATTTTCCTCCGTACAGATAAGCCCCTCCGAATATGAGCCCCTCCAAAAATAAGCCCCTCAAAAAGGGTCTTTGAAAAATATCAGCCTCGGGGCTTATTTTCGGAATTTTACGGTAGAAGAAGGAGTACAGAAAACGCTGCGAGACTTACGGAGGAAGAGAAGAAGCCCTTCCCGTCCAACTGACCCGAGAGCGAATGCATTACTGATTAAGAATCTTTTGTTTCAGCATAACGATTCGTAACTCCACTGTATAATAATTATGTATCCTATGTCCGTCGGAAAGACCTTTTTAGGAGAAAATGAATAGGTTTCAACCCTACTGGGTTCAACCGGATGTCCACACATTGTGAAAGTAAGAGAGAAATGGTTCCTATAAGGACAAATTGATAGTGAGTCACACTTTTTTAAGATTTATTTCACAGACTCCAACGTTTCGAAACTTATAATATGTCTCAGTCATCTCATAGTAAATTCAAAAGTAATAATGGTCACTTTTTCAATTAATGTGAAATAGATTTCCTTCTTCAAGAGTAGTGTAGAAAAATATCAAATTCAACAATGACAAATTTCACACTGACTTGCAGACCGTATCTTTAAAGACAGGACTTAAAGGAGCGAGTGTCGGACACGGATGGACAAACTTGAAAAAGATTAAATTGAAACAAATAATTTGAAAACTTGTTAGCCTAATAGTTATACAAAGTTCACTTTCAGGCGTTGTTTGTATTGTTTGATGTAACTCTTAGAAGGCAAATTATTTGTTGGAGAAGGAGAATGCAATTTTGTCATTGGCAAGTAATTTCTTTAAGAAAACAGCTTTTGAGCCGTATTTTGTCCTACTACTTTTGAGACATTTCTGCCTTTCCTTTCAACTCACAAGCCAAACGCAAACATCGCCATCATCATCAAACTATAACAAATTACAAAAAGAAACCAAAGAACATAAGTTAGGGACGGACCATTAGAAAAGTTATGGGGGGGAGGGGAATTTTCGAGCCGCAGGAATTTTTTTTTTCGTTATCAAATTCTTTGTATGAATTTTTTTTAGGATTTTTTGGCGTGCATGAATTTTTTTCATTTAATTTTCCCTTGCGCGAATATTTTTTTTGTACTTCGCCCGCCCCCCCCCCCCCCCCCCCCCCTCAAAACTTTTTCTCTTCCTTGCCTTCACATCAAAAAAACAAGATAAAAATTTAT